AGCGTACGCGAGACGGGCGTGGATCGGGGCGCCGCATACACACCGCGATGTTGGACTCTGGGCTGTCGTAATCCAAATATCGAGTCAATGTCATCAGAATGGTGATCTCAGCCAAGACGTCCTTTCCTGTGGTTGTTCCAGTTCGCGCGTACGGTGTCGTCAACTGAGGGTAGCCAGCAGCTTGAGCGCAGAGTTAGTGGTAGCAACCACTCCACAACAGACGCAAATACCGCCACCATGACGCCACGTGTGTGGGAATGCGGGGTAGCGCTTCATGATCGCCTCGTAGCGCCTTTGCTTCGCGCTCTCTGTCTTTCATACCCGCTGTACTTTGTGCGACTACCTCAGAGGAACTACAGGATCTTCTTGTCCATCGAAGCACACACCAATGCCGGACGTGCAGAAAACACAGGCTTTGTATGATGGTGAGCGAGCGTGTGCGTCGATCGCTCCAGCGCACAGCTGAACGCCGATCGCAGTAACACGCAAGTGGTTCGCGGTGATCCCGCCCATTATATGCCCCCTCAACTTCATCTTCGACGCGCCATTTGGGCGGTTTGCGCCGTCAGAGGATAGCATCTTCCTTGTCGATGGTACGTGTCATCTTCCCATGTCTGTCGTCTTGTACTGCATCGAGAACGCACACAACCCATGCCCCGATCCGACTACCCAAGAGTATGCTTTGGGGCATTGTAATGTATCAGACGACACGCGCAAGGCTGGCAGCCTTGCTCGCAACGCCTGCAAATCCGGTGCACAACATGGAGCCATTTCTCAAGAATCATGTCCAATCGTGAAAATTATCGTGAAACGGACGAGAGTCCTGCACTTGGACATGCTGTCATCCCGTATGAGACCCGCCTATTCTTCCAAATGCATGTTAGTATGTGAAGGAAGACGGAAGTAAGGTAGCACAGACTGCTGAGCCTACACACAGTGCCATCCTCAGGGCTCAGCCTGCATGCAATTGCGCGATGCGCATGGTTGGAAGCGGTAGAAAGCCGAATTGTGTGTTTTGAGATGCGTCTGGTTGACAGAATCTACATGGCTACCCAAATGTGGTTGCGAGATATTGTCCATTCCGCGATGCGGCGCCGAGACCTGGCCCAGTGCGTCGCTGTCCTGGTTGGCAAAACTAAGATGCTTACACGACAGCGGAAAAGGTACGATAACGCCAGATGTACACGCTATCCCGCTCCGATGATGATTCCGCGTATGATATTCTACGCTGCTGTTTCGTGTGCGACTCGCAAGCATCATCATGTCCCCTCCTCACTTACTTCCACACAGGCATCAAGGCGTGGATCTTCATGGAACTCGTCTCCCCCACAAGCTTCCTCTACTCCTTCCTGTCCTCCCCGCTATCGCCCACCTCCGCCGGCACCGCGCCCCCGCTCAGCCTCGCCCACCCACCGACACTCCTCGCCAGTCTTTACCTGCTGCACTACCTCAACCGCGCGCTCATCTCGCCCCTGCGCACTCCCTCGCGCTCCAAGTCGCACATCATGGTTCCCGCCTCCGCCGTGCTCTTCAACGTCGTGAACGGGTCGCTCATGGGCGCGTACCTCTCCTCGCCCGCCGCCCGCGCGTTCCTCGCCGGGGCGTTCGCGCGCCCCGCCTTCTGGGCGGGCGTCGGCCTCTGGGCGCTCGGCTTCGCGGGCAACATCGTGCACGACGAGATTCTACTCAACATCCGCCGGAACGCGAACGCGAAGGGCAAGGCGAAGAAGGGCGCAGACGACAACGAGGACGCTGAGGGCAAGGGCAAGGCGAAGAAGGGCAAGCAGGAGCACTACGCGGTGCCGCACGGGCTGCTCTACCGCTTCATCTCGTACCCGAACTACTTCTGCGAATGGGCGGAGTGGCTCGGGTTCGCGCTCGCGGCCGCGCCTGTCTTCTCGGTCACGTCGTTTGGCGCGTTCTTGGCGACGGTCAGCCCCCCATGGCTATTCTTCCTCTCGGAGGTATTCTTGATGGTGCCTCGGGCGGTCAAGGGGCATCAGTGGTACCGCCGCCGCTTCCCCGATTATCCCAAGGAGCGCAAGGCTGTGATACCCTTCTTGTTGTGATTTGTAATGTACTGCTGGCATGCATACGACTGTATATGTCGGATGATGGATGTATACCTGGTGGTGGCGAAGCACTGCGAGGTACGGTGGGGGAACGATGTGGGCTCGTGAATTGTTTGCATGCCAGGTTATTCTACTTCCCAGTTCAAATCTCAACCGGAGCCGTGTCACGAGTGATGCTATCGTGTATTCCCGCGCGCGTCCTCGTCGCTCAACCCGTAGTCGTTCCGCCGCACTTCAGTTCAGACGGGCTATTCGGAAGTCGTTCAATCGACTGTTTCGAATTCGAGTGTACAGCTACGAACGTCTGTGAATTACCCGGGAGTGACTAGGACATCCAGGAAGGTATACATAGCAAGTCATCTAGGTCATAGCGCAGCGGCGTGGGCTATCCCATCACCGGTGCGAGCCGTAGCGCACCTTCCGCCCAAAATCGAATGGGATATACTTGTACTTGATCATGTGCCTGCGTGCGCAGGCGTTCAGTGATGCAAACAGTAGAAAAGGGAGAGGAGACGTACTGTATCTGCCTGCGCATGGTGAGGAGGAAGAGGACGAACCAGTAGACGACGAGGATGGGCCAGTAGACAGGGACGTCGAACATCTCGAAGAATGAGCAGACGATCGCAATAAGCGTCGCGCGCGTTGCAGACAGCCTGGTGCACCGAGGAGTGGACGATGCGTTTAGTACCGGGCGAGGTGGGCCACGTATGGGACACGCACCAGAACTGCCATTCTGGCAGGCGCCGCACGAACGGCCGGAACTCGTCGTCCCTCGAGGACGGCAGTGGGGACGCGGGACTCTCTCCTCCCTCTTCAATCTCGTCCGCGAGCAGGTCGTCTTGCAGTGAGGGGTCGAACTTGGGCTGGAGGAAAGCCAGCAGGAGATTGAGGAGGTAGATAGCGTGGGCGTCTATGTCGTGGTGCGCGTGTTAATGACAGCTTACAGAAACGAGATGCGTTTGTATACGTACAGGCAACTGCAGAAGAAAGTTCAGTGTCGCGTTGTCACGAACATGGACCAGAGAACGTACCGATATACCACTGCAAGTCCGCCACCGAGAAGACAACCCGTCAGATTCTCATCTCCTGCAAGTCAATAGCCGCTACTCACCCCTTGAGCGAACACAATCCTGAGTGCAAAGACAGATAGCAACCCTGCGGTCCCCAGCCAGCGGTAGAGCACGAAGGGCGTGACGCGGTCAAGCCATTGCTGGTACTGCCGGCGCGCCTTCGCGAGGTGGTTTGCCAGCGGTTCCATGGGACCCGACGGTTCTCCGTCCGATGAGGCCATCATTTTGTGTAGTTTTGTACAAGTTGCCGCAAGGCGCCAGACGGGATACCGAGGAGAGGGAGGACGAGGTTGGGAGGAGGAAAGAAACCCACTACGCGCGCGCTCGCGCCTCGCTGTCCGTGTGTCCTGCGCCGAGTGCGCACGGCGTTTGCCGAGCTGGGCCTGCGCGCCCGCAGCGCAGCGGCCCGCGCTTGGCCCGCGCTGAAGGTCGCGAGACTCGCGGACGACGACCACCAATTGCGCATGCGGCGTCCCGGGCAGCCACAAAGGCGTGATGTTCCACGGGAGAGCCTGTCGGACTCGCTGGACCTGATCCACCATCTCCCTGGTCTTTTGAACACGCGAATCCGAGATCATGGCCGCGAGTTCCGTGAGTTCTGAGACCGTGTAGCCTCGGGTTCATTCGTCGGTTACAAGATCCCCACTTAATGACGTTCCTGCAGACGCGTACCGATGTACCTGAGGCAATACCGCACATGGAAGCTCACATCCTCAGAGAACTCGGGGCGCATCGTGCGCGAGATGAGCAGGGGGCGGGCAAGCGCGTCGCTCCCCCGCTAATCGTAGGCGTGCAGGGTCCCCAAGGCAGCGGCAAGACATACTTGACGTCCATTCTGCGCGACGTGCTGCAGGGACAACCTCATGGCCTCTCAGTTGCAGTGCTCTCTATAGACGACCTCTATCTTCCCCACGAAGGGCTCGTCAGCCTGGCGGCAGCTCACCCCGATAACGCGTTGCTCCGCGGCCGTGGTCAGCCCGGCACCCACGACGTCCCTCTCGGGACGGAAGTCCTGAACAAGCTTAAGCGGATCAACGACGCGGGCGCCCCTGAACGAGGTGTCGAGCTTCCAAGCTTCGACAAGAGCCTGTTTGACGGCGAGGGCGATCGTGCACCTCGTGGTACCGTTGTCCGTCCCCCCGTCGACGTTGTCCTCTTCGAGGGCTGGTGTGTGGGCTTCTACCCCATTCCAGTAGAAGAGGTCGAGCGGAGGTACTCTCAACCCATTGAAGGTCTCGGGGACGACTTCTTGCAGAGGAATGGGTTCCGCGTTCATGACGTGCTGGACGTGAACGAGCGTCTGAAGAGCTACGTCTCATGGTGGAACCTCTTCGATGCGTTCATCCAGGTTAGTCGACTGTGCTCGTCGATGGGGGGATCAGTACAGTACTTACTGAGGCTGTGACTGCTAGATCAAACCTCCCCAGGCGCACCCATACACGTACATTTACAAGTGGCGACTCCAACAGGAACACAACATGAAAGCTCGGAATGGCGGTAAGGGCATGTCCGACGAACAAGTCGAGAGGTGAGTCGGCATATGCGTCACCGACACGGTTCTGATTAGGTGCGAACGCTGTCTCGCAGGTTTGTCGACAGGTACATTCCCGGATACGTTTTCTTCGGGGATGGGGTGACCCAGGGATATCAGAATGCGCCAGGGACCAGGATACTGCCGCCCTGGGTCGGCCATGGTTTGCGAATACAGATCGGGGAGGGAAGGGAAGTCGTACACGTAGACAGCTTTTAAGGCCCTACTATCGACAATACGTTGTGTAATCCAATCCCATGTGTGCCGACACACACAGTCACGCGTCGCACTACGACAAAATGACCAGAAGCAAACGCGCCAAAACCATTCCCATTAGCCGACTCGAACGACTGACCTCATCATCAACCCTTTCTTGTGTCAGGCGATCTACAAGTGATGCGCTCTACCAACTGAGCTAAACGGGATGCCCATGTCATGGCAGCCCCATGCTTCGCCACCAAAGAGTAGCTGCAAGGTCTAAGAGCACGTTCTGCTCACCTTGTACAAAAGAGTGTTCTGGTTATTTTTTGTGGACGTATCTCATCTGTTGTAGCTGAATGGCAGGATACACAAGCAGAGAGGATTGAGATCTTTAACATTGCCTGAAGTGGCCGCGCACTTGAGCGCTAATCGGGCACAGCTCCAGTCCCTTTTGCCGCTGAACAAGTTGACTCTGGACGCTCACCTCGCTCATTTCAGGCCGCTTGTTCTCGACTCCTCACCACATTATGCCACTGATTGAGGTACGTTACCTCTCTCCCCAAGAACCTATACTGTTGCTTACGCCATTCCTGTCGCTCTTACGATCACTCACATTGCTGTTCGACCTCCCGTGCGTTCCTCGAATGCTCGCCGACATTTCAGGTTATTGCCAACGACCGTCTTGGGCGCAAAGGTAAGCGCTCGTGTCTCTTGACATGAGAATAACTCATGCTGATGATACGGCATGCTCACAGTGCGCGTGAAGTGCAGTCCCGACGATACTGTCGGCGACCTCAAGCGGCTCATTGCCGCTCAGACGGGTACCGATCACACCAAGATCCAGCTGAAGAAATGGTACGCCTGTCTAGCCAATCTGGTGATTGTGGTACGGACGATGTCTGATTGCGGCCCACTCGTCGGCTCCTGCGGTTATCAGGTACACGATCTACAAGGATCACATCACGCTCGCGGACTACGAGATTCACGACGGGATGAGTCTCGAGATGTACTAGTTCCGTCCCGCGCATCCCTCTGCGCGCTCGTCCCACGGTCTGCGAGCCGTTTTCCCAATGTTCTGGTCGAGATCGATTGCCATGATCTGTTGTAAACGGTGATGTATCAATACAACTATCGATTGCCTGCTCCAATGTTACTCTGAGCTCCATGCATATAGTAGTCAGCCCGTAGCACCTTGTGCTCGTCAGCTCGTTGCTCGGCTACTGGTGAAGCCAGGACGACTACACAGCCCATCGACGTTACACAGCCACACGTGCTTGCTCCTCAACGCACCCGTCTTGCCAGGCTCTCGATCTAGCATAGATGGATGTCTCGAGAGATGTTCTTGTGGATATTGCCGGTGCGCGTGTCCGGCAGCATGTGCCGTGGACAAGATTCACGAACTAGGCTCTTTGTAGTTGCCGGTTTACCGCTTCCCACTGCCTTACCTTTGTACTCCATGTCACTTTCTTGACGTTCTGTAGGCTCCAACCCTCTTGAATCGCCCAGAGAGCTTTAAGTAGGCCATTCTTCTGTATGAGCCATTCACTGCAGTGCTACTGTCGATGGACTCTTGATATCAATCCACGTGACAGTGCCACCACAAGTGCTCAGTTAACGAATATGTACAGCATTGGGCCGCAGAAGTAATTGTTCTATCCCCTTATATATAATTTATTGGCCTGTGTTCAATGAGACCGATAGGTTGAGGCTCGGAACTGACCATTTGCGCGGCGACGTTCAATTTCGCTGTTGTACTTGGCAATGTGGACCCTATGTATGTATTTATCAAAATATCTACTGCTTATTTATGTTCTAGAATATCCTGAGCTGATATACTAATACTGGGGTGAGCTAGTACACTGGGAGATGCTGGCATGGGAGTCGCGGCGAGTGTCGGGATCGTGACGATGTAATCCCTGCACAGCCACTAATCTGCTCTCCCACCACCTCCGAGTCGCATCTGCTTGGCTGGACATCCCTTTGTCGTGTCTTCTCTTGTAAACATACATACATACATTACGCTTGAAACCACTTGATGCTGCGATGTTAGGGTTAGGACGTTCAACAACGAGCGTAGTCTCGTGTTACGTTCAACTTTTGATGGCGCCGGACGAGCCGACGCATCGCGCGCTCGAGCTTACGGTTTTAGCCACCCCCGTCAGTCTCCCATTGTCCTCCGCTTTCGACTACGCGAGTGATGCCCCGTGATCGTCACATAACCAAAACATATATAAGCCTTGAACTCCGCTTCCCGGTACGTGTTCCGTCTCCCTTCCCCCCATTCTCTCTTGTCTCCCCCGTCGACGCTCGCTTTGCCCCCGCCTCGTCCCCGCCTGCTCCTCTACTCATTGCTCATATTCACTATCTTGCATTCGTCATCCTCTCATCCTTCCGGGAACATATCGAATAAAACGCTCCCAAGCGCTCGCGCCAGTGCCCAATTTGCGATCACCACTACCTTCGCCAAAAACCTGCAGCGAGCATAGCTCCCACGAATGGCGCACAGAAAAATGAAGTGCATCGACTTCGAATCTTGGATGGACAGGTTTGTACGAGATACTGAAGGCTCTCAACCCCCGCCGGCACCATCAGCCGCCACCCGCCCTACGGTACGGAAGACAGCTGCCTCCATCGCGTCTCGCTTGCGGCCCATTTCGCGCTCGACATTCCGGGCTAAATCTGGAAGCGAGTCCCTTTCATCTGTTGTGCAAGCCCAAGAACTGTATTCCAATCTTTTTCAACGGACTCGCCCGTACGCCAACGAGAAGGACATGTACCGGAAGATCGTAAGTGCGCCCAGCTCGCCCGTGAGGATGGATACTGATGCCACCGCTCTGCAAGACGGATGCGCTCAACAAGGCGCATCTCTGCCCTGGATTCCGGTTCATCTCGACCCCGCACGAAACCGACAAGACGAACGCGTCCCGCCAGGCAGTCGACTGCGGCATGTACCCAGACGACGCGCTGGACAGGCTGCAGGTGAAGGGCTCGAAACGCGCACAATACGGGCGCACGGATAGGTACTCAATGGAAATTCTGATCCTGTGCAAGAATGACGACACGGACATCGATCCGTTTGATGAGCTTCGTGAGTCTGAGGAGCGGAACGCCATCACCAGTCGCGACGTGCTCGACCAATTCCTCTCGCACGCCGAACTCCTCTTCGACCACCAACATCGGAAGTTCCAGTTCGCCATCCTCTTCCTGGGGAACCACGCCCGCCTTGCTTGCATCGATAGGTCGGCCATCCTGGCCACAACGAAGTTTGACTACCGGACGTCCCCTGAGAAGCTCACGGAGTTCCTTTGGCTCGTTTCTCACCTCACCCCGGAACGGCGCGGTCACGACACGACTGCCGTGCGTCTAGATCCCGACGGGGAGGAGGCTCGCCTGATGCGCGAGCGCGCTGAACGAGCGCAAGAGGGTGACTACGCCGCAGAGCTGTTCCGCAAGCACCTCGACCCCGAGTGGGCATGGTGGAAGCTCGCTAGCCATGACGAGCTGGACGGCGGGAAGCCACACCACTTCCTCGTCGGCAAGCCTCACTTCCAAGCGTCGGGGGTGGTGAGCCGTGCTACTCGTGGTTATGTCGCGCTTCCCGCCGCGGATCCTCTGAACGGCAAGCTCGTCTACCTCAAGGATGCGTGGCGGGTGGACAGCACGGACATCGAGAAGGAGGGTGATGTCCTGCAAAAACTCCGCGAGCATGACGTTCCATTCGTTCCTACCCTGCTTCACCATGGCGACCTCCCCGGCCAGACGACGGAGAACATCGATGTTTGGGAGGATGTGACTCAGGAGAAGGCGTCAGACCTCAAGAGACACGAGCACTATCGGCTTGTGGTGCAGGAGGTCGGCAAATCGCTGGATGAGTTCAGAGATGGGAGCGAACTTGTCGGTGTGATTCTCTGCTGTGTGTTTGGTGAGTTGTGCGTTCATCTTGCGCTAACACGTCCTGATCGTCCTTGCGTTCTAGCCCACTCCGAAGCTTACAAGATCGGCATCATCCACGGGGACATCAGCGCTGGCAACATCCTACTCTATCAGGGGGAGGACGGAGAATGGGAAGGATTACTGAATGATTGGGAGCTATCGAAGAAGTGTGCTGAGAAGCAGACAGAAAGTCGCCAGCCTGGCCGTACGGTTTGTGCTCTTCGTGTTCCTGGTGTAGGCTCGCACCACTCACCGTATTCGCTTCCACAGGGTACAATGGAATTCATGTCTGCCTGCGTCCTCAACGATCACCGGAAGGAGATGACCATCGCGGACGAGTTGGAATCGTTCTTCCACGTTCTGCTCTACGAAGCCATCCGTCTCTTGCACCACAACCTGGACGACGGGAGCGTCCCACAATTCCTGTACGATTACTACGACTCCTTCCACCCCGGTCCTGCTGGTGAGCTCTTGTGCGGACCGTACAAGTACCGGGCGGTGTCATGCGGCATGATCCAAATTGCGGAATACCAACCACTCGCCCGCCTGGAGGGAAATCACTACCTGCGATTCACGTTCCGCACCTGCATCCAGTCAGAGTCAGAAGAGCAACGACAAGCGGTTGTTGTGAATTGTCCACATCCTCTCGACCAGGTCATCAACACGCTACTATCCTGGTTCTCTGCAAGATACCACCTCAGACAAGCCAGGATCGACGCTATCAAGCAGCCAGCATCCCAGAACGACATCCCTCACGTGCCCATCACACCCGCACGGAGCAACATGGTGGCCATCCTTGACCGGTACATTAAGCGGACGGATGTCGTTCGCAAGCAGGAGGCTGAACGCAGTTGGGAAGCGGAAAGGCTAGCTCGGCTCGAGGCGCTTGCGAAGAACTTGGAGAGTCACGAACCGATGATGGACCTCTTAACGGACGCGCTGGCGGATACGCAGATGTGGCCCTCCGCGGATCGCTACGAGGACGCTGAGGGAGCAAGAAGTCTCTCGAAGAGCTGGAAGCCCTCCACATTCGACCCGGTCCCTAAGGGCAAGCTAATCTCGGGGAGTGCAAAACGCAGCCTTGAAGGGCTCGGCAGCGCGTCCGGTAGCACGGCGAACTTGAAGAGGAGGCGTCACTGAACTGTCCCTGTCTCCTCCTTTCCCTCCGTGCGCGGCTGGCCGCATGAGTATCGTCCGTCATCCTCTACCCCCCCTTTTGGCGCTCGTGATCAGGAGGGGTGTCACCTCTCAGTCTCCGAGTGTCCCTCCGGCTCCAATCGTCGTATTTGTC